GAGAGCAGAACAAAAACATCTGAGACGAAATTACCGAGGTTTAGTTAAGCCTTACTGCATGTCTGTCTAACAAAATTTGCACCATGTGACCCACAGCTACTCCTTTTCAACTCCTGAACATTTTTGATAATGCATCATTTCACTAATTTGAAGAATTAATTCCGCAATTATTCAGCTTATTGAGTCTTACAGCTCAATGCAAGAAATGGTTCCCCTTCATAGAGGCTGTACAGAAACAGAAAACTTATTTTCACCCTTAAATGGAATTCATGCAAGACATAAGCAGTCAAAAGGCTGTTGTAGTAAATAGGATTTCCAAATAAGTACTAGAAGAAAATAAAAAACTTTATTGGTCATTCAAATTCTTGATTAAATGCCTGAAAATACTGGTTTTTATTTTGCCTGCCTCAAAATAGAGAGTGCTAAAGCATGTAAAACATTATGTGCAAATGAATATTTATTATGTGTTATACATATATATGTGTATGTATGTATGTATTTTATATATATATATATATATATTCCTACATTATACTTAAAATGTAGGAATCCACAACTACAACCTAGAGTTTTCTTCAGATTCCAAACAGGTACAAGGCTATAACCAAAGATGGGAAAATGTGCTCATAGTTTTAAAAAACCCACTCAATTTACCTGTGCTCCTATTGCACTTGTTAGCTTGAAGATGTACAAAACTATATCCAAGAAGGGCTGTAAGAGAAGCATACAAAAAAAGCCTTAGAACACAAACACAAAACTAATATAAAACAGTCCAGAAGCCATGTACCACCCCAAGAACAGTTACAGCTCTGTACTAAAATACTGGCTACACTATCATATCATCTAAAAGCTAAGACAAAAGGAATCTCAGGCACATGAGCTTTTCCTGAAAACACTGGCTCAAGAATTGAACATTGAAACATCATTATCTTCAAATAAATACATACCATCTGAAAAGAGTACTTTGCTACTTTAGGTCTGTAATGACATTCTGCTCATTTATTAAAGGTGGACTAGAACCCATAATAGTTTAACTGAAGCAATTATAATATTGAATGAAAAGATAATGCCATATATTTGGACATGTACCTGATAGGAGGAACATTCTGAACTTCTATAACCTCCTCGCTAAGCTACTCAGCTGAACTACAGGTTCTGTAGTCAGAAATTTTTGAACAAAGTAACTTGTAATTTACTTATACTCAGCTTGTATGAAACACATAGCATTAAAAAAATTTAGTCTAAGAATGTCAACAGTATTCTCACTCACTACTCAATCACCTTAAAATTCACACCAGAAACAGGGAAAAGCTTATTCAACCATACTTCCCTAGACAAAATAATATTTGTGTGTAACTGACAGCTAGCCATTGATTTTCCTCTAAAAACTATCCACCTGAGAGAGCAAAGTCATCACTGTTCACCTGCAAATGAATGCCATATATTCTTTTAAAGAAAATGTAATACAGATTATAACTCCATGCAAAACAGTGCTTTGATCATGAAAACCAGAAAGACTGTGAAACAATATAGCATCATAAACAATTTTTTTTAGTACCATACTCCAATCAATCCACATACAAACACACATAATTGTTGTGAGCTGACACCCCCATTCTAAATGTTTACAGCAACTACTCAAAGTTCTCTCTTTAAAGACTTACCTTGCTAAGGTTTGAGTACAGGTCCACTACACTATTACAGAATTTTTCCACATCCTGTGTAAGGAGTTGATCTGGATTAGCTATTCTGTTGTCCAGATTTCCCATTTTGTAGTATGTATAAGCTCTGAAACAAAAAAAAATTGCTAAGTACAATTGTACTAAGAAAAAGAAATGATTACTTGGGACCTGAAATAACTGAATGCCCTTGCTTTATACAACTGACACACTAAGTAGTGCAAACATTAAATTACTGTATGGAATCCACATAGCCTGTGCTTCTACCTAATTGTTTAGGCATTTAGACATCTTCTAGCATGTCTGAGCTGAAGCTTAGGCTCACGCTGCTACTGCACTTAGAAAACTCTTACACACACAGCACAACAACCAAAAGTTAGTGCAGAAGGACAGGAGCTACTCAAGCTCACGCATCCAATTCATCCTTCACGATATGAAGGCACCTGAAGAACTCTGGAATCTGACCCAATCATAGAAGCAGTACAGTGCATTTGTCCCCCCAGTTGAGCCAATTTTACTGTCCTTTATGTATGTACTGTCCTTTACTGTATTTATGGCCTATACAACCTGGATAAGCCGCTCACTCTCAACTGCAAGTTCTTCTTACTATGTACTTAAAATGACTTGAATCAACTTTTAAAAACAGCAGACAAGGTATTACTTACTTAAGATATTCTTCATAG